CAGCAAGCTTAACTGACTTTATTAATCGATGTAGGAATGTTAAATATGTTAATAGCCGTTTCCGTGCGTTTAAATTGAGCTTTGTCCAAAAGCCTGGAAGCCGCTGCTNTTCTATATGATCGATATGTGACAGAATATTGTCCACATATTACATTTGAATGATATAAGCTTAATAATTCAATTTTTTATAATCTATGCGAGTATCAAAGTAAAATATTTCTAATTATATATCAGTGAAGTAAACAGAGAAATACTCATAGGTATTTATAAATTTAAAAGGTAGGGTATAACGTTCAACTCAACCTACTTTTCTTCAATGTTTCTATCGTAGTAACAGCCATAAGTTTTACGGCCTAATTGTGCTAGTTGCTTAGAAACGTCATAATTCAGTTGCTTGCGTTTGCTGTTATCCATTTCTACTGGCCAAAACAGTCTTAAAGGAAGTTTACTCTCTTTAATCTTTAAACCAGTTAGCTGTACTTTTAACTGAACGCCGTCTTTCTCCGAAGAAAACCGCAATTCCCTAATGACAGTGACAAGATTGTAAAAAGTTCTCATTTTTCTTAGGGAATGTAAAATCCACATCTTGTCCGATAAATTATGCAGAAGCAATCAGAATTTGAGTATAAATAGAAGCTCATGTAGCCAAAAAAATTAAATCATTCTGATTTTCAGTAACTTAGCTTAGACTGGATAGGAACATAGGTTACTTAAAAACTAAGTATTACGAATTTAAGACGGGCGAACTTTCATCGATTTTTGACGATTGTAGTATTTAAATTCACGATGACTTACACAAAGTTCCAGTTTCTCTTTTTTGAACAAACATAATTGGTAAAACTACCAATTTGGATGTTTGGAGCCAATTGAATAACTACCTTTTTAAAGTCCTATGTAAATTAAAGTGATCAATGGTTTTAAAGTCATATCATGGATCGATTTAACGTTTTATAATGTATTTAAATATCAGGATAGAATTGTACTTTTGTTCGGGTTAAAACAAAGTAGCGCTGAAAACGATTAATTTTATAATTGCTAATCCAAAATATGACTTTTATCCTACGCGATGGATAAACTTTTGCTCACTATCTAGAATTAAACTGTCTGTAACAATCTAAAATATTATATGAAACTGATTTTTATCATGAAGAATCAAGATTGAATGAGAAGCAACCAATTCTATCCGATGTAGCAACATTTTGTCTGCCTTAGTTGTTAAATATTGCACGATGAGTTAATAGCTGTAAATGGCATACGCAATTCACTTTTCCACAATCAATTCAGGGGAGATTAGGTACGGTAGTACTTATTAGAATAGTCATATACAAATTAATAAAGCATTATAAAATTGTCCGATGCAATTTAAGATAAATTGTTGCGATCGTATTTGAATGAGAAACAAATAATTTTATCTCATGTAACTACATTCATTTATAGCTGTTAAAGATTGTACTATAAGCTAACAGCACCTAAATGACATTTTTAATTCACTTTATCATAATCAATTCAAAAAAAATTAGGTACAGCATTGTTTGCTACAATTATATGCAAATAAAAAAATTTTAGAAAATTGCCGGATACTAACATTAACGAACACAGTCTACCTTAAGGCCATCTAACTGAAAGCAACGCTAATTTGCTTATTTTTTAACAATCAACATGGACAGACACGAAATTAAGCAATATTTCAACGAAATAATAATTATCTTTATCCCTTAAATGAAAAAGTCGACAAACAGCTGCAAATACTGTAGAATAAATAATTCTTTTTCAGTTTTTAAGTCGCGTTACCTTTAGATTGTCTAAAGCTACAATAATTGACTTTCATTTTAAATAGCCAAGATAGATAGTCGTGAAATTCAGCAATATTTCAACAAAGCAATAATTACGCAACTCTATCAGTAACATGTAGAAAGCAGCATCGGATTTCCAAGTGGACATAGACCGTGCAATTATTTTACTACACACTATTCTGTGTCAGAGTAAATACGTTAAATACCTCGACAAATTGATTCTCAATTCCGCAAGCATATATTATGTGAGATTTTAAACTAAAATATTGAAAAATTAGAAAGTTTCGTTCAGTATCTCTCGCCTATTTTGGCAGGTTCATTTAGCATTAATCTATATACGAGTATAGATAGCACGAAATGCAATTTTACCTTGAAGATGCCATACTCTTAATTCTGAATCTATGAAGGGAAAACGTCGCTGTATTTCTCTAGCTGCTCTTACAGATTAAATTTGATTAATGTGGCAGTTTTGTTGATTTACTATCTACGAATGCAGCAGTATAGTCTGTTGCCAATGTTTATTAGTATATTAACCTGTTAAATCGGATCTATCTAGTGCAAAACTTATAAGCGAAGTCGATTTTCTTAGTATTTAGTACCAAGAATTAGTTCCGGAATTCTATGTAAATGAGTAAAATTTGAAGAAATCACGCAGATGATCCATTAGGAGAAAGGCATAACAAGTGCTGCCATTCTAGTTCAAGCATTTTATCCAATTTACACATAGACATAAATAATTAATATTAACAATAGTTGTACTTGATATATTTGAGCTAATGAGATGATAAAACAAGATTGTAACTTTTCTATCATGATAGTTGTTATGTTCGTGGTAATTGGTAATTGGTAGTAGGTTTAATAGAGAATCGCTTATTGATCAATCAGAATCGTGTATTTATACATTTCCGAAATTACTTTAGATATGGAATAATTAATGTGTGTTTTACCACATTTAAGTAGCAATATCTATTTATATTTAATAAAATACACACTGAAATTGTAGCAAACCTATTAATGGAAGTAACTTCACAATCTAAGTACTCTATACCGTAAATCCTAATAAGCAAATACTATACTACATCTACATATAGCAATAGTATTAGCTAAAACGACTGATAGATGTCATCATGCCCTTTCAAATGAAAATGAACTGTACGATCCATGATAGTTTACTGCCTAGCTGATTAATCTTACCGATCCGTCAGTATACCCAATTTATTGAGTTAAAAAATGAAAAGGTTTCCAACAAGCCACTGAACACGAAACTAAACCAAAGCAGATGAGTTACCGAGGAGCAATATGATCCAATCTAAGATCGAAACTAATCAACTATTCTACAATCTTCCTTGTCCTCTCTCGCTCTCTCTTATTTTAGATATAGCAGCCTTAAGTACTGTCTATTTGTCACTACCTCACTAATGACAAAGGTATTTATGAAGAAGTTTAGCAAACAAAAGTATTAATTATTAAACTAAATCCCAAGATTTTACGTCTGGTTGAGTTATAGAGAACTACTTATCACAAGTTCTAGCAAAATTCACAATAATTAGGACACTTTTGACTTCACATAGATGACGTCTTTTACTAGATATGAGCTCGCTTAAGTAGGTTTTTAGTCTACAGTATGACGTCGGGATCTTACTGTAATATAAAATTGCGAACTACGTAATAGTCAACATGGTTCCCCAAGGTTCGACTAAGGGTAACAATTCTACCCACTAAGGTTACAGAGTATTAATGTAAATAGAACTAAATCATCCCATTGGACATCTTAGTCGCACCTACTATTTCTTTAGCCCTAATCACAATTACAAGTCTTCTATGCCTACCTAAGATCTCTAGCACCTTATTCTAAGGATTGATTTTACGATATTGTAACGCTATTTTAGAACGACCCACCCTTAAATCTAGATAAGGAATGCTAAAGTAAGTTATTATATTAACAATAAATACCATAACGTCAATACAACATAAGCTGCAGTAAATGAAATCATTCCTCAACAAAAAATTCCATTTGAAATCCAACAGCATCAATCCCATCCTAATTACTATTAGACAATAATAAGGAAAATTGATTATTATCTATTCAGCCTAGCAGTTTGTCACACACCACTAGTGACGAAGTAGTCTACACACGCCAATCCTTGCGGAGAACGCCACTTACTAACTTAAAGAGGCGAGATTAGCTATATCACCAAATAATTCAGTTCCAACGACCGAATACTATGGTATAATTATAGCGTCACAGATGATGTAGACAAGATAGTCAGAGATTTACTATCTTTTATTACTGAAGGAATCTTGGCACCCAAGATTATAGTCTTTACAATTAAATATCAATTGAAAAACTAGTTGACTATCTAACCGACTAACGAACTAAAAAGGAATCTTCAGGCACCAGCCTTTTATAGTCTCGTCAGAAACTCCTGGTGCACATAATATAAAAGTATCCTTTTTAAGTTATAACGCAGTTATATAATTATAACTGGTTCTAATCAATAAGCTGATGTCATTTTCTGATGTTTTGTTCTTAGTGGAACTGTAATGATCTTAATGCAAAATTGCAGCTGATGCGATCACTGGATATCAGGGAGGTTAAGGAGTCCTCACAGGATAATAAAACACCCTTTTTATAACCCTTTTTATAATCTTTGGTGCTCGAAGGCACTAGTGCAGATCCAACTACCTCCGTAACTTACAATTCCACACGGCATTCACCAACAACTTTTTTTATAGTCTACTCAAAATGCTCCATAAGACAATATACTACAGATCATACTATATTATACTGTATAGCAAAGTATTCGTATTACTTCAAGGCGATCACTATGTGGCTCTTATCCATCGATCAAACTACATTTATTAACGTGATAAAGTAATTTAGAAAAAATCGTCAAGAATATCTGTTCAACAAATTGCAAATTACAGCTATAAGCTTTTGATTGACCGATACAATGATCCAAACTTTAACTACAAACAGAAATACTAATCGTTTAAAGACAACATTATTTTCAATTTTAACACATAGAAAAACTTTTTTGCCTTTCGATTTGGTCTAACATGCATATTTGTTGTACTAAGCATTATAGGCTGTATCATCTGGCTTCTCACTCCGTGGTGAGTTTTGATACATAGTAAATTGGTACTCGTAAGGATTAAACAAGATTGTCTAGCTTAATAATAACCAACATTGAAACAGCACCAGTGAGGTGGTGATGAACCTAGATAATTCCACACCATGACTACGAAAATGTTCACTAAGCTAGATGGAAACGTCAGGGAACGGCTTGAAAATATAGCAAAACATTGCTGTATCACTATAGTCTGTAAGCTAGGGTTAGGGTTAGGGTTAAGAATTATGTTCCAGCTTTTATCTTTAAATTGTGCGGTGTTATGATAATGTTGAAGACACGCTAACAGTTTAGATTTTAGTACAATCAATTCATTTAATTGACAAATCTATTATTATCGTCCTAACTTGGCCAGATAATGAGTTTCATGCAACCTTTTGCAGTGTTATTACTAGATAGAACGATTACGTGATTACGTTAGTTTGTGATAGCATTGTAACCTATGAATTAATGAGCTGATCATAACTCGCTTATAGCCAACGAATGCGATAGTGTTTGATAATTTAAACCGACTCAGTCATGGCTTAGTATTCAAATTATAATACACTTCATCATATCCAAAATATGATTAATCAACATCATTTCAGCCATTATTGAATCCAGTATTTCCTAGAGCATATAAATATAATCTCGAATATTCTCGTCATGATTAAGCTAATAAAGCGTTGCTGTTCCTAATTACAGTGGCTATGCGCTTTGAAACTATAATAATAATAATACACGGTGTAAAATTATGTGCAGTAGGACAGTCAATTTGACCAAATAAATTCATTCCAGGTCGCAGCTGATATTCTAACCCATCACAGTCGCACTACACTTATTAAAGAAGCTAAAATCCCTTTGTTGCAGGTGTTTATTATTATGGTAGATATTATTATCATAAGTGTTTTACAGAATTACCATTATTAATTCACTACCGTAGTAGTTCACTAATTAATTATTATACGGAACTACCGAATTCAAATTGAATATTTTCTGTTCATACTTCAAGAGACTTATAAATATAATTCGATGACATAGCAATTAATAAGTAAAAAATAAGAATTAGCAACAAACATTTTCGGATAAGTTTAGTCACATGTTTGTGTACATTAGCCTGACTGTTCCAAATATATTTATAGAGAATACCGAGCGATACCTATTCTATGCACTACTTCAAGAAGACCTAAGGTCTTCTTCTTCTAGTAGCTCATGCCTATTCTTAACACAGAATTATACAACAAGTGTTTAGGTACAATACTGTACAGTGTGCATACAAGATAAATTCGTATCGATGTTAGGATAGTAAATCCCTATTAGGTATCAACCTCGAATATCTTCACATTTTCGATATTTTGACCATCAGTTAAGTCATTATTTACTGAAAATAATTGACATTACGAGAATATGTTTTTTTTTTAATATCTTGCAATAATCATATACGCAATATTGGAATCTGTAATAATCATCAAATTTATTCTCTTAATTTTTAATCACAGCTTATGTACCGGTTTATATTACTGTCATATACTATTATATACATCGTACTCAAGCAGCATATAATAAAGTAATATTGTCTCATATTTATCCAGATATTATACGGTAATCTAATCCAATTAGCGTATTTAAATGCGATATGATATAGATTATTTCACCAAGTTTCTACGAAGAGCTAGTGTAACATGAACATGTCAACAAAGATAGAAATAAACGAATAAACAGCCCGGTACTTAGGCAGATTATGATCGCTGAACCTAAATCGTGATACTACGCGTATAGGCAAAGTAGAATGGTTACTCAATGATTCATTCATTATAAGTGAATAATATATTCTGGATAAGCAGAGTTGTCGTTAGATACAACATACATAGAAGGACTGCTTGTATTATCCACCACTGAATGTATACGTTCATTTTGACTTCCCGGAATAATAGACAGATTTGGCCTACCGCTGCCGCTTGAAGAGCCGTAGATTCCTGTTAGAACACGCACTAGTAACAAGGAATCACCAAAACCCTGCGAAAGGTGAGCTTTGACAGCAAAATAAGTTCCTGTACCATATCCGGAACCTATCAAAATAGGAGAAAAGATATTATTAATTCAACAAATGTCACCCGCTGCAAATTTTAGTATTTGTATACTGTTGTCAAGGGGCATCTACATGCACTAATTTATTTGATATATAATATAAAATATAAAGCATACGAATATATCATGAACCAACCAGCAGATGTTCCAGAAAAATCTCTATCAAAACCACTCTTGCATATCGCTGTAACGCTGCGGCTAGAAGTACCATGAAATAGCTGCCTTTCTACCTGGGCGCCTGGTTTATATTTCTGAACAGCAGTAGCTACCTCAGTTTTCATGATCTGATATCGTCGATATAAATTCCAATTCTGGATTCTTTGCAACCTCCTAATTTTATAGCCACTCAATCCGGGAAGATTAGATACGCTATTAATCTCCCGTTGATTTTTAACGTCGATTATGCGGAAGTAGCCATCTTTGATTTCATCTTCATTTGTATTTTCCCAGCTATCAGGTATAGCAAAATCTAATTTATAATTGCCATGGATAAAATTAATTTATTGCAACAGCGAAACTAGCTATGTAAAATAAAACAATTAATAAATTAAGTATCAGGATATAAACTCATACGTATTGTAGTACTAAATTTGAGTTTCGATGTAGAAATAGAATAATATCTCTCCATACTATATGATCAATCTGATTACTAACGCGATTTTTATACTCGGTAATACCTTCTGATGACAATTTCCCTATAGAGCACTGTGTCCCATCAGCAAGCCTGATCAACATTCGACCGAAATCAACAGTTTTAGTTGTTGCATCAATTTGAAAAATCTTCTTGGTCTTATCTTTAGTATAGGTCTTATAATTTTTTTCAATTTCATAGTTTAGCTTTACATCAAAGTTAGTTCTGGATTGTCCAAATTTTGCATGCCACTGGGCCGAGTCGGCTGCAAATTTCTCTACTTCATTATAAGCTTTCTCTTCGAAGTAAATTTGGCTTAGTTTATTGATGCTTAAAATAGCATTCAGTATATCATTTTCGAGTCCAGATATACACACAGTTTTATTTCCATCTTGCTTTACTAGAATTGTATTATACTCTGACCAAAATTGCAGCACAAGTCGATTCCAGCGATTTTGATCAATAGAATTGAAATAATCTTCATCCTTCATCTTGTGGCATATCCAAGAATCAGCATATTCTTCGATCTTGGATTTCAACTTTGAAATCACAGATTGATCTTCAGCGACGTAAATTATATTAAGACCAAATTCTGTTACTGCTACGTGTTGACTAATTTGCCATCCAAATTGTAAAGACTTATTAGTTATTTGCATTTGCACCCAGGTTGCAAATTCTTGACTTCGATCTTCATATCCAATGACAAAATTAAAACAATTTACATAATTTGTTTCATCCAGGTGGTTGGCTAAAAATGTTTCTATAGCACCTATCAAGCGGTAAACATGACTAATATTTATTTCAATACTTAATAAGGGAATCGTGATCGATTTTTGTTCACGGGCATTAATGATTGCTAATATAGTACCAAAGCCGGGCAAGCAACCATAAGGACAAACTTGATAGATACTAGAGCGCGATTTAGAAGATAATATTCTTAACGTTTGTGATGTATGCCTACTATCGCTGTAGCGCATAATATCTAAATGAGAATCTAAATTGGAATGTTTAGCACATAATGATGTTACATCGATGATAGCATCTGTAGTCGCATTGTGGGCATTACCATGATAGACATTGATGGAGATTGGTACTTCTGTTCCGTCGTATCGAGCTGAAAATAACAGTTTCAGTGCGCTATAGGAATTTTCTTCTACAGGAGTCTCTCCTGTCGACTTTGTTATCTTATCAAGTAAATCTGTTTGATGATGTAATGGAACTTCTAATGGATTATTTAATTCTAGTACGTATTCAAACGCGTTGTAGACGTTTGTGTCGGTAGGAAAGACCATAAAGTAAATTTCTCTTAGGCTTCCTGTTTGATTATAAGCAAACTTCACTGATGTATCTGTCATTTTCCTTGCGATCTCTTGGACATCGAGTTTTAATTGTCCTGTACCAATGATAGGTATAGCTATCGATCGCATCGATTCTCTATCCGCTTTCCTTAAGCAGTCTTCAATACGTAGAATAAGCCACTAAAAATAGTAAGTTGCAAAAAAAATGATCAACATTGCATCTGTCTTGACTATTGGAGTTTACACTAGATTCAACATCCTTGTCAGCAGTAGTAGTTGCCTTATCAAGGTTAGACATAAATATTAATACAGCTCCGCACTTACTGATATTGATCTATCAGAAGTTAAGAATGGAATGTGATATACTTTCTTGCAACCAAAATACTGGCCATTTGTAGAACCAATGCTATCGTCTTGTGGAAACTGCAACTGGGTACGACATTCTTGTTGATAGGCTGTTCCACCAGCTTTAAATAATGCTGCTGCAATTTTACCTTCTGAAAAATTATTCGTACTCACAGAATTGACAATAACATCAGCCTTGAAGAAATAAAAGATTGAAGGATTCCTTTATTAATGCCATCTAAGTAAATATTTTCCTTCGACTATGAAACATTAATAAGATGTAAGATGGCTCATGACAGATTTTATTTCAACTTACAGTTGCTCCACCATCTTGTTCAATTCTTCCTTTCACCAATTTAATAGCAACATTGTTGATTTTTCTCTTACTGCGGCTAGTTTGCGGAGTTGCTTGGGTCAAATTAACGACACCTTTTGTTGCAACTTTCCCTATCTTTGGCTCTGTTCTTCGCAGAAATGCATTTCGAGGATTAGCTGAAGGCTTTTGGCACTTACTAAAATTACATAATAGGAAATGAAAATTCAATTGAATTTCTCTAACGAGTTTATTAGTTAATGTCAACTTTACATGTTTAAATGACAATTTCGGTAAAAAATGAATAATCTACTGTACACACCAACTCTAATTTTCGATTCTAATTTGCTGCCATAGGTAATAATATGGCTATATTTACATAACAAAAATTTTCTTTCTACGAATGCAACTCTTTAAACCAATTCTGCATGTTCCAACTACAACATCAATAAAAATTGCCAATTTACTATACATAACAACACTTATTTTAGGGATGTATCTCGCTTTCATAAGCAATAATTTGATACCATTTACTTTTCTTACATTCATTTCGTTTAGCCTTTGATAATTTTTCAATAATCATATCAGGCAATATATTGTAATCGATTTACTACGAAGTGATATATCGATTACTTGATATATTTGTATGTAAGAGGGGGTGAGGAGGTGTAACCTGACCTAGATTATACTCCAGGGTATAAAATAGGCTAGACTAGAAGCTACCCCGGTATACTCTAAACTAGGAGTACAGTCGGGACTGTTACTCCGGTAAAAATTGGCGATTTACTCTTCTTGTCAACTCTTATTTTAGGGCTAAATTTCGTTTTCATAAGCACTCAAGTGATCCTTTTTACTTTTCTTCCCCTTAATTTTGTTTAGCCTTTAATGATATCTTTTTTGTCACATATTACTTTATCAGTAAAAACTGACAATTTACTATACATGCCAACTCTTATCTAGGCTAAATTTTGTTTCCATAAGCAATTATGGTAACCTCATTTAATTTTCTTCCCCGTACTTTCATTTTAACCTCAATAATATTCCAACCAATCAGCGTAAAATTCATTATAATGAAATAGAAACACTGCTTCAAGATAGATCTTTATTATCAAATAATCATATCTACGCGTAAAGTATAGGTACCTTTCGCCTTTATTCCCTGCAATGGCAATCAAACAGTGTAGTTCCTCTTGTAAGCGTTGTAACCTAGCTTTATTTCTACTAGAGCTAAGTAATCGTCCAGTGAGCGAATATTTACTAATACCATCTTCCTTTTGCACGGTAATCCCTCGTAAAATTGTTCGAATTCTGTTTTCAATAGTATTTTTATAGATTTGGTAACAGCTGATGCTAATATTTTTACAACGTTCCATGAGCCAAGAATCGCTATCCAGTTTTGCTTCCACTTCAATTCGACAGCCAAATATCTTTTCTATTGACCGAATATTATCTTTTAGATACGTACGCAAATATTCTGTTTTCAAAACAGGAGTATCCGTAATATCAAATTTTATCAATTTGTATTCTTCTAATTTAGCTTGAATAGCTCTAATGACATCATGAAGATTATTACGAGGCCCTGTAACTGTTATGGTGCAAGAGCTAGTATAATCATTTAGCTCAGCTTCTAGCAGGAGCTTGCTACTCATGGCAATATCTTGCTGAATACTAGAAAGAAGTATAGCGGTATCTTGTGGAAAAGAGAAAGCTTCACCAGATACGGTTGTTGATTTAGTGTCAAAAATTTCTAACAATACCGCCGTAACCTTTTCATATTCTGTCGCATTCTTTGCAATGACAGAAATAGTAGCATTCGTGTTGGTTGGAATAATTACAGCACATATACCATTTTCAATTAATTTCTTGTTAATACTATCCGTCATTTCGGTCTGTTGAGCTAGATATTTGCATATTCTAGTAGGTAAATCTTGGTTGGAATCCATTAAGTTAAAAAAATCAAATAATTCCTTCATAATGTAACTTTGACTACCATCTATCATCCTTGCAAGTAATTTACCGCCATCTTCTCTATCCCTAAAGGTGAAAGAGACTTCGTAGCCTTTATCCTTAATTCTTTGTTCCAGATTAATTTTTTGCATAAGAAAATAAGCTTTATCCGAAAAAGTATATTCTTCCTCAATTGTTGCCTTCGTTGATACTGAAAATTTCGCACAGTCACTACCGATCGTACGCTTAGAGATCATGGATTTAGGCTTTACAGGAGACAGCTTGCTGCTAGATGGATAAGAATCTTGTCTTCCTCCTTGATTCTGATTTTTGCTAAATGTTTGGTCACCTTTATAGCTTCGATCTATTTTAATAGCTGCTGTTTTACCCCCGGTATTTCTTCCATTTCGGTTACTATTACTTTTATTTAATTTGCCTCTGCCATCTATTTTCTGCTTTATACTGTCTTGAGCAATTTTCTCAATTTGACTGATTCCATCATCTCCATTCTTAGTATTGGCAAATTGATCCTTTTTCTGACCTTTTTTTGAGCTGGTACTCGATTTGGAACAAGAACGGAGTGAAGAAGACTGTAAGTTGGTACTTGCAGTCTCTCTTGACTTAGATGGCAATGGAGAACTTGTATCCGGTTGTAATGCTAATAAATTGCTTTCATTCTGCTGCTTTTGAATAAGATTTCGAATTCGAAAGACTTCGTCATACATAAATTTAGAATCTTTACCTTCAAATTGGATATTTATCGGCTGGTCGGTACAAATTTCAAATTGGTCTAAGCATATCAATGCTATAATAGCATCAGCTTGACAGCGGTAAGTTACTTTCCTAGGATAGACAGAAAAATGTGCATAGAATGAGTTTGTTGGTACAAATGAATAGAGTATTAGGAAGGATAGTTAAATTTAAGTAAGCTAGTAACTAAGGTTATTAATACGCAATTGTATAGTTGCAATTGTTCTAGTGATTTAAAATAGAAGATCAGCATCTTATAATTAGAGTTAAAAAATACGTTTTATATGGAAGATTACTCAGCTAGCTAAAACTATCAGCTATACGAGTAGTCTATATGGCTTGAGAGCTAATTAAGATCTATGGCATTCATACGCCGGTACTTATTAATAAAATAGCTATAAATCATTACGCTTGATCAGGCGGAATTGTCTTCAATTCAATAACGATTCCTCCTTGACTAACCAAATGATAGAGCTCGATCTTCGTAACGTTTCATTTAAATTTGGATTAAAATGATATTAACATGAAGAAACCCACAACAACCGAGATCCTAATTAAAAACTAAATAAGATAGCTTAACTGACCTTATTCATTGATGTAGGAATATTACATATTTTCACAATAGCAAGAGTACATCTACATTGAGCCTTATTCAAATGCTTCAAGGCCAGTACCTTTCTAAATTGTATAGCGAAATGTTATAATTTAGTTTGTGGTCACACGATACCAAATTCTAGTTTATTCTTCTATTTCACATATATGAGCATTTCGTAAGCGAAATATCGAAGCAGCAATTACAGAATAAATATCAAGATATGGAATTAGGCCAATCCATTCGACCTACTTATCTTCAATTTTTCTATCGTAGAAGCCGCCGTAACCTTTTCGATTTAATTGAGTCATCTGCTTAGAAACCTTATCCAATAATTTCTTACGTTTACGATTATCCATTTCTACCGGCCAAAGCGATCTCAGAGGAATTTTACTCTTTCCAATTTTCAAACCTCTTAGCTTTGCCATTAATTCAATAGAGTCTTTTTCAGAAGAAACGTGCAATTGCCTAATTGCCATTAAAACCAATGGTAGAGAAATATGCGTGCTCAATATATAACTTACCTTGTCTAATTTTTATTGTTATAATTACTATTCAATATCTATCGAAGTAAAAAGGAGCGGTGGTAAAAATAGAACTGATTCGATATTGTAAGTAGCTCAAGTAATGTAAAAGTATATAGTATAACAGGATGATATAGAGTTTACGGTAATGCCTCGTGTAATAAGTTCTTACTTAATCGAAAGTTAGTTACGGTCTGAACTGATTTTAAATTGAGAATCTATTATAGCAGACTTGGCTAACAATTTCCTATCTCAGTGTACAAGATCATTTCTCTTTTAACTATAGCGACCACAATTTAGAATTATTAAGAGCATAAGTTACTTAAAAATTGACTTTATCGAAGTAAAATGGGTAATCTAATATCGATTGGTAGTACAAACAATTTTAAGGCATAGAAGTACATAGACATATAGAACAACAATTTATTTATACTTTGAAAAAAAACTTATTCCTTCTAGTTGCCTATTATAAGCTCAATCTACCTCCATTATTAATACAGAAATTACTGAAAATAAAATTGATGGATATGACACAAGTAATCGATCCAATATTTTCTTATAGCCAGAGCAGTTATATAATTTGAAGCATAATAAATACGTCATTTTTAACTCGGAAAATCTCATTCCATTCGACTATGATAGGCTTAATTCAGCCTCACTCAGAACTTTTAACTGCTTATCTTAAAAAGCAGCTTATAGATATAGAATTAGTAGTTGATACACCATCCCACTATAGCTCAATCAAGCCATTCCAAAATTGGAAGTATAAAAACGAACTCACTACTTTTTCGGAAAACTCATTCGGACTGTTACGATCTCAATTTGCCTTGGCAAGAACATAAATTAATTAAGAATAAATAAGCTTTGCAGAATCAAAATAGGCAGTCCTGATTGTCTTTTCAGCTATCGCATAGCAGCTCGAGCACCAACAAGCAGAATATGAGGCATACTTAAGATAACTCCTGTACGCGAAAAATTTACGTGCTCTAGCATGCAAGAAATTATCTCTAAATTCACCAAGAATGCAAATAACTTAAGACTAACATTACAGGTGCAAAGGAGGTTCTCTGATTGATTGTTGAAAGATCACTGCAATTAAATTCAGTATCACTTACGCAAAATACCAATTCTTCTTGGTTGAACATGTATAATTGGTTAATTCAATTTGAACATCAGGAACGATTGCAATTGCCGTCTTTTTAAAGTCCTATAGAATTCACCGTGATCATTAAATCATTCTAAAATCATCATTAAGAGATAGATTTTGTTACCATCTATGTTTACAATCTTTTGATCTATCAGCTATCATGATACAGGGGTGATTAATTTTAGCAAAATAATATAGTGACGTTGTAAACGATCATTCTATTTCCTCATCATCATCTAATAATGTGCCTTTCGCAAGATATAAATAATAAAATCTTACTAAATAAACGCTAATTTATTATTCAAAGTACGTGAAAGTTTCTTTCTATACGGCTAATGATATCATAAAGTTTAAAAGAGAGCCATGCTAGGATGGCTGCATGAATATATTCAAAATTGTTGTTGTGATTAATAAGACATTATATCAATGAATATATATCAGCTAAATGAAGCACAATAAGCTGATGGCAATTAAATTTTGCCGTTAATCACAATTGTCAGAATAGAATTATAGAGACAACTACGCAACTTGTAGTCGATAATCGAATGCAAGAATTCATTTTATAGTCGTTGGATACCATTATTAGCTGATCATTTTTACCTTAAAGCGGTCAAATCAATGCTATCGTAATTTTTTAACTCGTTTAAATCATCACATCAAAAATTAAAATTAACCTTCACAAAGTTCACGACTGTAGCAAAGATAGGCATATCTGTTTCATTATGGAAAAGATCTTAAAAACTACAGTTAGTAAATATCGTAGTGTTGTATTGGCTCAATAGTCATATTTAATTTTCGCACAGCGTTAATTTTTTCAAACTCTTATTAAAATTATTGCGTTAGAAACTAGACATTCCTATGCCAAAATTTGCTACTATATCAACGACAGCCACGTTTGTTTCATGGTGGAAATGTAGTTATCCTAAAATTGTGGTTAATAAATATCATAGCCTTGTGTTGTTTCAATTATCCTATTCAATTTCCGAATGCTGTTAATGATTTTAATCTCTTATTAAATTATCGAATTAGAAATTAAAATAAACCGTCACGAAATTTAATATTGTAGTAACGCTAGACGCGTCTGCATCACAGTGGAAATATAGCAACCTTGAACTGTGGTTAATAAATATCACAGGATTGTGTTAGTTCAATTGTCAAATTTAATTTTCGAAGGGTATTAATAATTTCAAACTCTAATGAAAAATGATTGTTTACAACACTAATACAATCTTGAGGAGACTTGAGTGTAGTAAAAAATAGCTAGGCAGCAGAGCTACCAATTACTTTTTGATATATTTGCCAAGTTGAAATGTTGCCATACTCTACTCTATTCTAAGTGAGGATGGTTATATTACCTCAGCGATTCGTTTTTCGATTCCGCAGATATACAACAAGTGCGATTTTGAACTAGAGTATTGAAAAATTAAAATGTAGAATTTTACACTTTAGTGGATCTTAACAGCTATATTTAGTGATGGTCGAAGCAAGCGTAGATTCTCTAGTAAAGAGTATAACATTACCTAGAAGAAGCCATAATTTAATGCTGGATTATATGGAAATGATAGCACTTTAGTTTGTTTATGGACAAGCACCAATTTTGTGAATAGAGTAAATCAGGTAATTCGCAGTCGTTCAAGAAGGCTGCAAGCTTCCGATATCAGCTTCTATTTCAATCCGTTGGATCTGGTCTATCCGGTATGAATTCTTACATCAGTTCGAACCTTTCCAGTATGCGACAGCGATAAATTAGATCAGTTTCAAACCTTTAAAAGATAAGTAAAGCAAGAAGAATCTCTAAAATGCTGTACGAATATTAGTAGAAAAGCTAAAAAAGTGCTCAGGTCGGAATTTAAGTAACTTATTTCATTAACACATGGGCACAATGAATTAATATTGAGAGTAATCATTCTCCATGCTCAATTTTTAGTGAAAGAAATGGCAAACATGCCATTCCGTCATCGTACTACCAAATTATGTCTTGGCTTAAAAATTAATATCAAACCAAATTATGCCCTTATTAACGGTATAAACAAATAGAATTAAGCTTTTCCATCATCGCAGTACTAAATCACAAACCGGTTCATAAAAAATATTCAGATAAACTGCTGCCCTAAAGATAAATATCAATCCATGTCACAGGAGATCTTCTAAGTATTAGCCTAATTGATTATACTCGATAAATAAATATAGCCCATTAAAGGATAGAATCAAAGATCAAGCCTTTCTGTCATCGTAGTACAAACTGTAAATTACAAACTGGCTCACAAACAACGTTCAGACGAAATGCTACTATAATTAATTAAAGGCGTAATTATCTTGCTATAAAATGTGTTCTTTATTTGATCATGATCAATTCTCTCTGGTATGACTAAGTTTGCATTAGTGTATTCAAGTTTTTTCTCTAAAGAAAATCATATAAAAACTTGTTATTAGCTATCCATCCTAATTTAAAGTCTATGTGGTAAGAACAAGGAAATAGGACAAGGATCTATGCACCATCATTACAACCTAACTGCAACCAATCTATCAATGTAAAGAATGTGCAATGCTCATAACATGGCTATTAACTCAAGATAAAGCAATTTCTAATTTTAAAGGCAGTATATCGGGTGAAAGGCATTTAATCTTACTGTTTCGCTAAGAAATGCTACTTGGCTATATTAAATTATCGACATTGAAAATAAGAATGTCTCAGATCGATTATTTGAATAATAAATTTCTTTATTCTAACGTTAGGTCTATCCAAAGTATAAAAAAATGATGAGTACCTGTTCGATAAATCTTTGATTTATATCACTTGACTGATTGAACGAACTGATCTATCAATGCCTATTGATGGACCATTAGCTTATAGCGAAACCAATTCTAGTCTCAAGGCCAAAATATCGAGCACGCGTTTTAGCAATTCTGTGCTATCCTAGCAATAGGTTAAGGCCAAGGATAAACCTTCCGTCTTTTGATCCTAATCTGAATTGTTTTATTTACTTATTAAGGCATATAGTATGTCTACTTGCTGTTAACTTAAGACAACGAGAACGCTTGCTTTCAATGTTTGAAAGGTAAGCCTGAGATCGCTGAGAGATCAACTCCGATACTGTACTCGCTATTTATTAATTAATATTTTCACTGCACCGTGTGGAAAAGCAGAAATGTCGGTAAACTACTTGTATTTCTAAGTAGGAATCAAACAGAGATCAAGCTCGCATGGGAAGACGCGAATCTATAGCCTACTGCATATGAAATGTAGAGATTTGGTAGCACGTATTCTCTAGTCTAAGCTATTGATTTAAAATATTAAGTGATTGATTGGAGCTCTAATGACGACTGATCAATTAATATGGCCTTAAGGCGTTACTTTTTTCAAGCAATAGCCAATAAAATTGTGTCTCAAATTAGATGACAGCTTGATGTACAGTAGACTTATGTTCTTGAACACTGTTTAATCCACCGCTACCACTCCGTTAAACTAGAAAATGACTCGCTGACGTTGGCAGTTTTGCATTGTATTTTCAGCATAATTAACTAAAAATGACAAAAGAATGTCGAAGTTTCATAGAAAGCCATGCATGTTGCCACGCTTTTAAATTATTCTCTATTTTAAAATGATTCTATATACAACTGAAAGTAATAAATATGAATAAAACTCTTTCTTTACTCACAAAGGTTAATCTGATCAGGTAAAATTAACTACCGGGGTGCAGACTTTGATTAATTCGGGATCCTACAGGAAGCAAACTCAATCAAGAACTCCAGAATATTAGACCATTTCGTTGAGCCACAGATCAAAGTTGAATGCAAGACGACTATAATTTTACGATCATCTATTTTTTCAGCTAACTGTTCATATTTTGTTCCACTTGAAATGAAGAATAGATTAAAGTAAGCGAAGTGCAAAACTCAAACCTCACAGCCATTCAAGAATTCTTAATTAAAGGCATTCTCTTCGGAAATCTTGTCATTTTTATTCGATCTAGAATTGAGGTTTCTGACTCTTGCATATCTTCTTATAACAGTATAATAAAATCGACCCAATCCATCATCATTTTGTTCATTTTCTATCCAATCTTAAACCAAGGCAATCTTCCTATTTGGAATCAAGCCAGCACACCATTCTGTCGATTATCATTAAAACTTCAATTGGATGGTCTGATCTTCCTAAATCTTTGATTTTAATATCAGTCCAGTATATCTTTTTTATTTATGTTTTATTAGACTGAACGATTCATTTCTCCTCTTGTTTGAAATTAGTCTAGTTCATCACCGAAATCTCTTTGAACAAGGAGAGCAAATGGTATGCTGATAAAACACACTCTCCTCTATGTCAATGTTAAAAGTTAATGCTTTAAAAGTCAGTAATTCCGTTAGTTTGGTAGGTTATAAAATGGATATCATTAATTTAGTGTAAATAATTCAGACTATACGTACGTTCTACAAGCTTGACGGGTATCCTACAGTACTCTGCTGGATATGCTTGCCTAGTCGTAGTCCATATTTCGAAATTGATCCAGCGCATTATCAATTCCAAATTGTATTAAGTTAAGAGTATAAATGGACACTGACAAATTTCTCCTGAGATAAAAAATGAAATCCTTTAAAATGTTGTATTCGATTGATTTTATAGGATATTAAACGAATGGAATTACTTTGGTCAGAATTACAAACTATGAACATACAGTATCTAGCAAATTGCATGCAAAATTCAAAATATTTGATTATTAATCATGGAAAAGATTAAAACTAAAAGTACTATAACGATCCTTTATAGAAATAAACGCCTTCATACATTGATTCTTTTTCAACAAAATATTGGGCGAGAATCCAAGGTTTGTCTTTCTTTCAAAATTTTATTTGTCCATCAGAAAGATCTGTCATCATTAACGGTGTGTAAATAAAGCCTTATAAGCCTTATTTCTCTTCTTCTAAAATTTCATAAGACTTACCATCCTTAAACATATCAAGCTACAGTCATTTTATGCTGAGCAAATTAAAACAGATGTTCAGCAAGAAAATAGAAAGACTATCCAGATGAAGCTAACATCAAAATTACAATTCTGTAGCTGGCACATGAATAATTGCATTTCTTAAGTAATCTGTTCAATTCTTTGCTACCTAAAGTTAGGCGAAGGTGGCCAACCTTTCGGGTTCTTGTGCATTTTCTATATTTTAAGATCAGTGCAATGTGCTATTAGGTTTCTTAGAGAGCGAATGCTATAGGATATATTTGAGCTAGCAACAATCTGTCTCTCCTACCTTGATGTTTCCTTTAGTTTGGCTCATGTTTCTCTCTATTTTACAAGTCGTATTTCACATTATCAAAATTTCGAACAGAGTACCTCCCTTGGCTACTAAGGGCAACAATAGTAGCGAAAATGCTTCATATTGAAATTTCACTAATAAAATTTGGCAACCTTTAAGAAGTGGGCTATCCAGTACTATATTCTCCATCCAGGAAGATGGCCAAATATGAATAGCCATAATAAATATTGGATGAATTTGATCAACTAAGGATATTTCTATAGTCTAAATTTGATATGACTACTTCTACCCACTAATAATTACTTCCATATCCGTATAAAATTAGCCTTGACAGGCTAGCATATATGACTGTAGATATACCATCTAATTATACTAGCAATATTCCTTCTCCATAGCGAATACCCACAGTCACTTATTTATTCGATATTTCGGTGATTAAAAATATGCTAGATTAAAATCATAAAATTAAGTAATTAGTAACCCTGGTATAACTACGTGTAATATAACAAATTCTAGCAACTAAACTGCAAGATGTATATGACAAACACTTGATGGCCAGGTCGACGAAAAAATGGCAAATAAATTTTCGCTTATGTCAGCATATGAAGATTTATTGGCATCTATTTTCTTCCTGTTGATGTAGGTGCAAATCTTATGACCTGGATAGAAGAAGATCCGTAGACCCATTTATTATTAATCCGTTATGAAATAGCGAAATAACCGGTAATATGCTTGATAATTATTTGCCGTTAATCTTTGACATATTTTCGTATTGAAGAGCTGTTAGAACATTCATATTCCGTTCATGGATGCTAAAAATGTCGTTATTAAACGATACTAAGTTATGAACTAGAGAAATAAACGGCAATTCGTATACTTGATAATATTTTTTCCCTTAATTTTTGACATATTTTGGCATTGAAGAGCTGCTAGAACATCCATATTATTTGTGGATGTTAAAATGTCTTTATCAAACTAAAACTAGTGATGGTAGACAACAAAAGATCCCTTACTAACTTTAAAAACAACAAAAATATGATACAGAGGGCATAGGGATCTGGCTTTAAAATAGATTACATAATTACCTTATACGGCACCCATAATTCTGTATACAAAGTGCACTACTAAAACTGCATTCTTTCTATACTGAATTTCGGAATTAGAAAACTATTAGTTAATGTTCCTTTATTTAAGAAACTTACTCCACTATGTACTAATGAAATAAGTATATTCAATCTAACATACCTAATGCTGCTTGGGCAATGGATAGAGATGTTGATATAATAGCAAGTCGCTGATTTCGATGGCATTATTGCCTATAAATTACTGAAATTAAATTGCTTTGCAGGCAGCTTACCACCAACTTCATCTCAGTTCGTGTTGTATTTGCCATCGAATATTGTACGATTCATCCATTCCGCTTTATTGATCCGCGCTATCCTATTCTAGTTATCAAACTTCTGTATTGGTCACTATCAGCTATATCCTGTGCATAAATTGTCCCTTTCATGAAGGAACATTCCAACTCTTAATGGTCAACCTATCTACAGTCATTTCCAATCGAAAATTATATAATAGCTATTGTATTAACATATATACAAATACAAGAATTTATTAATTTAACTAAACTAACCCATCGAGATGCACTATATAGTTACTACAGTATCAGACCTATTTATGTAATGTTATAAACTAAAATCCAAAATCTGTTGAAATTAGCGACATTACAACTACTTGTAATTATTCAGAAAGCTTTTGATTTATCTATATCATAATCTCCTATTACTGGAGATGGATACCAGATACCTTATATTCTCTACTATACTTTTCATGAGCTAAAAATAATATAAAAGTCAATATTCTACCGTCCTTTACAACTAAGCACAATATTATTTCATGCTTATCTCATAAATTAATTTGCTGAATACTTCTCAATCGATCATACTAGTACCATTATCATACTTTGCATCTAAATTGAGAGTTTATATCCACACAACTGATCAATGTGGCTATGGGTAGGATTGAAAAGATTAACTCTGTTAACATCATCAATTAGATGGGACACTATTTATTTAATTAAAGTGGTGCAGTAAAGTATCCGAAATGTCAATTACGGAGAATGTTAGCTGAGTTAGCATAGACCAAATATGCCAAGTGGAAATGTACATGTTATATATTGCAAGGATACATAAAACGTCAGTGGAAAAAATTATGGATCACTTTCCCTTATATTAATTAAATAAATTACATTTGCACCAGGGAATTAATTTATCTATAGATCATAACATGTCCTGATTTTTGGCGTCGCCGGCCTAAGGTGGTAGAGAGAAAATAATTTGTAACACCACCAGACACAAATTTCGAAGGTATAAAATGTGTAATAAACAAAGTTATGATGAGTTGAGAGGCAATCAATCGGAAAGGCTGGCCTAGAATATTTTCACAGGTATCTCTATTGACAAATTACCTTATCATTTTCATCCCAAGAAAGTCTTGGTTAGCTTTAGAGAAAGTAACTGCTGTAGCTAGAATCAGTCTACCTTAGGAGGAAGGTAGCAAATTCTGATATGGACTTTTATTATTTTTTCTCCAACAGGAGAAAGTATTATAATACTACTTCTGTATTTTATCAATAAATGTTAAGGTTATTCTACGATAGTTAATAGTACTCTCGGAGAAAATAAGTCAGTATTATTCAGTAATAGCTGATTAACTATCGACAGCAATATCTCTCCTTCCAGTGAGCGTATCTTACGGATAAATGGCTACTTACAATTATAGTATTAATAGAAGATTCGATAGTATCAGTTTATTTTCTAAGAAATGAGTTTACCAATGCATTGATGGAGTAAATATCAGGAAAATTATTTGTTTTGGGTTTTTGATCAGGTTACAAAGCGTCCCGTTGATTTTAAGTAAAACCTTTATACTTGAATCGATATTTTGTATATAAAGAATTTTGCCTATGCCACTAGAAGGGAAACATATTTGGTTTAATCTTCCTATACCATCATCAGGTAAGGGGAAATTTTGTTGATGGCTATCACATATTGCTAATATATTTCGAAGAAGTATAAGGCTTAAATTTTCTTTACAGCCAAAAAATTCTTGAGATCAGGGAAATATTCGCATCTACTAAAAGCAAATATTGCCCATACTAATACATGTAATACAGATTTATTTAATAGTTACATCTCGAAAGATGATTATCTTGAATTTGGGTGCATTCCGGCTAACCAAGTTAAGAAAGATCCAAAGTGGACAATATCGATAAATCAATCCGAGCGAAAGAATGAAGTAGAGGATGCAAGTAAAGCCAAGTGCAACTTCAGTTTCTCCCAGATACAATTACAAAGTAAGTCGCTAAGCGAATCGATTTGACTGTAGCTTTAGTTAGGGAAATGACAAACAATTTACGGTATGAAAGATATAAGGTGCATTTTTGAACTTATTTACAAGATCGCGAAATCCTGTCCGATTCCATCATGACTTTTTTGGCTAGTCATCAACGCGAAAGGGATCAGATTAATCAGGATTTCCAAAGCATGAATATCAAGGCCAGTATTATCCTATCTAATGAATCCATTCTCATTAGCGCCGTTGATAAGGAAGAGTATATCACAGCTATCAGATATTTATCCACTGTCTTTATTACCAAATCGCTAACAGTACGAGATCAAAACCTGTATCTACCACGAGATTTACAAGTCTTCGAGAAGGAAATGACTAATGGAATATCTGAATGCAAAAATGTTTATTCAAAAATGAAAGTAGACAATAACTTTCAATCATGTATGATTACAGTTACTGGAAAAGACTATGACGTATATCAGGTTCTAATGAAGTTTACTGAGCGAATAAATAGATATCACAATATAAAAACGGTTATCACGCTAGAATTAACAGCGTTAAAGATGAATTATGTGCAATCATATATAGAGAAAAGGTTCAAGAAATTATTAGAGCAATATCATTGTGATTCGGGTATTGAATTTAATCCCCAAGCTGAAAATCAACTGATTGATAGTGAAGCCTATGGCAAAATGCAAGTCACAATTCATTGCCCAATATGCCATCAAGGAATAGTCAAGGAGAAGATTTCTAAACTTTTCAATGATATTACTACCGAAGAACACTGGAATATTAGCAGATTTTCAAGCTTGAGTAGATATCTCCAAAATAGAGCTAGGAGAAAAATATTTATCGAATCACTTCAAAAAGAATTCCAGTGTACAATCCGAATTAAAAGCGATATCCAATCTCTACATTCGTAAGTTATAATTTTAATGCAATAAAAGAGGCTTCCTAAATATTAACTAGTTCTAAAGGCTAGCAAAATATTATCTGACACCGTTTTCATCGTCTATAAATCTGGTGTATCTTTATCTATCTCAGAATACCAAATTACTCTGCAATAAGATCTCCTATACAATTTCTATTCTTAGCTATACATCACATTAATTAGTTTATTTACCAATGTATAATAACCAAATATGAATGTCAAGTACATTTCAAAATTTTTAGATTAATTGAATCCGTCTGATTCAAAATATACCCTTTTTAATTTCTCTACGTCGAAATTCTGGTAGTCTACTACGCCAATTTATTCTCTAGACTGATTTTTTAGTTTGATGTTAAATTACAAGCTAATGTTGGAGCAACACTTAAATGACTAATTTATCAGATAAGTAGTAAATATCGGCTTCATGTGCATCAAATTCATTTTATTAACATCTAGGATATCCATAAAGCATGAACTATTCAAAATCCAAAATAGGTAATTACAGCATGAATTCAAGTCAAATCTGCTGCTACTAGAAATAGGATTTTTAAATTTACAATTAGAATTATTAATCATTACCAGCCTTGTTCGTTGAACTGCATCAACATCACTATCAAATATTGCCATGATAACTTTTTGATAACTAGATTAGAAAAGGCTGCTGAATCGAAATTGGGAAACACCCTTGATGAAATCAAAATTAACGAAATCACTATTAAAATCGTTCGCGGAGCCCTGGAAAAGATTAAAGTTAGTTGCTTTTAAGATGAAGCTAATATTTACATATAGTAAAGTCAATAATAACTCTTATACCACTACAGGATTGCTAAACTAAATATCCAATTATAGGCAGATGTCATTATAAACTCTATAGAGCTCGGATCTTACAGTGTAGGGAAACTTGCAAAATTATTATATCGCGCAGGTGGCCAAGCCTACCAAAATGACTGCGATACAAATCTAGCAGAATTAACACTAGACAAGATTGGTATAACGGATGGTAGTTATTTTCAAAGCAAGGCAGTTTATCATATTCCATTTCTAAGCTCAAACAGAAAATTACCGGTAGATATAATAGTAACTAAATACTATTCTATTATAAATAATGATTTATCACTTTGCTTACTGAGTCGTACAAATTTCAGAGTTGGCTCATTTATTATTTTCTTTCTCTTCTATTTAAGTGGCTTATTGACAAAATTAATCAGTGTATCAAAATAGCTCACGACAATTTAATGACATCTATTGCGATACCTCCAATTGGAGCTGGGAATGTGGGCCTCCATATCCAGGAGGTTGCTCGAGGAATGATCGATGCTGCTAAGGAATTTGCCCTTCAAAATTCGCTTAAAACTAGTTTAAAGACTATTTATGTTACTGTCTCATTAAACGATCATCATACTGCCTTTAGGCAAGCTTTACTTAATGTAAAATCAGAAATAGATCTTATTAATAACGCAATAAAATCAAAAGCTATCCGGAACGAAGGAAATGGTGGTAAATTGACTCTACTTTATTCCGCAAGATGTTGTATTAAAGATCAGCAGATATTAATTCTTGATATTTACAAGGGATCAATCCAACATTCCCATGCAAAAGCTTTATTATCTTTAATAGAAATTTGTGCAAGTCATCTAGATGGCTACGCAGTTAATTTCCAATTTCATGGATCTGATTGCAATAGTAATCAGTCGTTGCCTCAAGGACTGCATGGAGTTAGTATTTGTTCTCAAGACCCAATCGTAATTAAGGCATGCCCATATGGAATGCTGGAAAACTTTGATGCTTTGTTAAATTACGTTAACAGAGCTAAAGTAAGCTCTTTAGCAATCCCATTTCTTGGAAATGAAACAGATGAGAAGAATATTGGCTTACTAATAAGTAAAATTGAAGAATTTGTGCAACAACAGCATTTAACGAAGAACCTGCAACGCCTTGAATTTGTCATGATTAACTGGTATCGATGCCTGGAAATGACAAGATGGATACGAAATCGAATGATTAATTGTAGCTCTACTTCATATTATAAATGGATCATTTTTCAAGATTATTGTTGTAAGCCATTAGATATTGATATTGCAATTGCAGCAAAAGATCGTGAAACTATCCGACGGATAAAATCGAAAATGTATAAACTGATGCCATCGTTGGCATGCAAAACACTGACAGATGTTGAACACCTTACAAATTTAGAAGATCACAGTTGGATCAGCTTGAAATTAAATATGTGGAATAAATATGGCACCGTCTTAATTAAAGAATCTAGCCAAGAATATTCATTTATTACCATATATGGCATTAGTGAAGATGTTTGTTGTACGATAATAGATCTCTATCAAAAAATACAACGCAATTTACAAGAGAAAGCTAGTCATACATTGCAACAATTTACGTATGAAATAGCACCATGGCAGATGAAAATAGGTCATTCTTATTATCCATTTGACGAAAAATTAAATTACGAAATTGAAAAATATTACCAACTTTATCAAAAAGACAAGAAGTTTTGTCAAACGGCTTGTATAGGTGGTGAACTCAAGGTGGTTAATTTTGAACAGATGAATCTGACATTGCAAAATAGCAATCGTACATATGTAATTAGAAAAAATTATCCAGGTATAAATTCAATTTATTTTACTATAAATTCTGTGCAATTATGCGATACATGTAAATGTTATCATATTCAAAAAATATATTCTTTCTTTTTTCTGCCAACTACTATAAGTAGACTGCATAAGTGTACCTGGCGACTGGGAATACGACAATATTAATGAGATCCAAGACGGAAGAAAGAATCGAGTAGAAATAACCACTGCAATAGAATTAGCAGAAATTTATAGTCTACTAGGAAATAGTAATATCGAAGTAACACAAGTGGAACGAGTACAAAATTGGAATTTATATCAACGCTATCAATTAATGAAGATGGATGTAGCTAAAATAGTTGATGAATATCAGCCAGGGACGATTGTAGAAAGGCAATTATTTCATGGTACCCAGCTTAATTTTATCGATAGAATTTGCCAAGCAGGATTTAACAGAGATTATTCAGGAAAATCTAATGGTACATAATAGACAAACATAGCTGATATCGATTCGATCTCATAGCAATAACATAATTTATGCTGACGGAATTTTTCTTTCTAATCAGGTGCAGCACTGGGTATTGGAACTTATTTTACCCAAAGTGCTGAAGTAGCTAAAGTATATGGTCCAGTGATTATAATAGCACGCGTTTTGACAGGTATTTTCGGAGAACCAGCCGAAAGAAGTCAACCCAATTTAGGTACCATACAAGGCAGCCAGACTATAAATCTCCATTCAGTTCGTAACGAAAATAATGACTCTGTTTTTGTGGTATTTCACGATAACGCTGCTTACCCAGAATACATAGTGTATTCAAGTTGATTTATGTTTATCGCTGAGCCAAGAATATCCCTTATAAAGATTCTATTACAGCCAGCTAGAAGTAGAGCTAGGGCAAGAGACGTCCTTTTGGATTGAAATGAATGATGTATTATTAGAAATAAAAATGCTGAATCACTTTATTACGAATAAAATTTAACAAAATTGGATGTACTGTGTATGGTCTTTGAAAATAGAACACAGCACATGGTTGATAATAAATTTCTAATTGCACTTGTATAACCAATTTAATAAGTATTAAGAAAATCGTAATATTAAGGGTATGACAATGATCCGAGTATCATTCGATGTATCAATAATGTCATACAATCGAATAACAAATGTATGCAGCTGGATTTTACAAATATATTGCTTCAATTATATGCACAAGTATATTATTGTAAATTGTGACTTATCAATCTTGGCTCTATTCAACCTCTAGTAGATTTATGTAGTATGGATAGAAGTTTTAGCAATCAATTTAGCCAGTTATTCTACTGTATGCCTATCATTACAGTCACAGAATACGCGTATATTTGTAAGATATATTTCATTATACCATCATTCCATAATGACTTGATAATAAAGCCTAAATTGCCTGCAATGATCTAGCGGATAAGGATGTACTATGAATAACAATACTAGCACCTGTAGGTATTTCCAATAGTAAAATCTGTCAAAATTTTGCTTGAGGCAGTTTCGAATAGAGACAATCACGCAAAGCATAATTATTAATTCTAATCCATCATGGCGCTAAACGTACGTACCATCTGTGATGTTTAAATGCTTCCTATACAGTAAGAGCCACTTCTTTCCAGATCAGTATGACATTACCAATGATCGTAGTTTTATTATAGCTATGGTAAGTATATTGTCGGTAACGAATATGTGTTTATAACTTCGTCCGATAGTATAAAAGCTAGTGCCTAAGCCGCATTTTTGTAATTGTCATTGCTTACTTTCCTTTTTATCTAACATTTTGTACTATGCACTACATTGATTCCATTCTACTGATGGTTAGTATAATAAATATTATATTTGCATTATGTTGTAGACTCGAAGTATTTTTAAATTTACTCTTGAGCAGGATGAACCATGAAAGACATAACAGTGAGTACTGGCATGGACTACTGGATACACCTAGTTAGGTCTCGTAGTCCTCGGCACTGACCAGCCATACTTTGCAACTTCCTTGTTATTCACTCCGAAATCTAAAGACAACTCAGCTGGCCCAGTCTAGTTAGAGAAAAAAATCGGTGGCAAGCTCGAAGATAGCGTAGAAATCATAATGAGAGAGGTCACACTAACTGAGTAGTGCCGTAAGGCGCATTTAAGTTTGATTTACTATTTCTCACAGCCACTATTTTGAAGCAAGCAATATCAAAAATTGTTATCAAAGATGCTTAGCTCTAACTAGGCAATTTTGACGGTCATTCACAGTGAATTAACGACTTATTTTGGCTACATTGACTCAGTTTCTACTATAATTAATCATTCATGATATTTGAAGACTATGCGCTTACACATAGTACCAATCTGACAAGGGTTGAATGATGCTATACTGGATAGTGATATAGCCATATCAAGCTCAACAATGATTTGCTGATGTCCATGTAACAACATCGATGCGTACGTAAGATTTAGGACACCTTTAATGGAATCAAAAATTGCAAAATAATGACTCCTGTACTCCAGAAGTAGTATTACACGCCGCTCTTTTGTAATATCTAGCAAAGTATGCAATTAGCATGGTGTCCATTCTATATTGCATCCAATCCCTAACGTGCGCGTATTTCGTATCGTTGATGAATTTCGCTTCAGTAGTCTGAGAGCATACAGAAATTCGGAAGCTATCGTTATCGCTAACACCATCCTTTCATCGATAATGATGCAGGTTCCATTTGCTGTATCCTGCAAAAGATAGGAATGTCTACAGTAAGCTAAGATGTCTGTTTGTTACATGATGGTTACTGTTGCTATTTCCGTCCATTTATTTAGTTTACTTGAGATGTTCCAATTGTATTTTCCTTTATCCCCCCCCCCTTTCCTCTTCCCGCACCTCCATCACATGGCTACTTTTATTTTAAATTTTTTTTTTTATCTTTGCGCTCTATTGCCAATGCCAACTCTGTGCTTTCCTATTCCTATTTACCGTGAAGGTCCGCGACAATTTGTGGTCATCCCTGATCCCAATGCAGTACTTTGAAATTTCGAACTCGAATAGAAGTAATTGCCACTAGCGTTTGTCTTGTATTCGATAGCATAGCAACCGTTGAGAAACTCCTTGGATGGAGAATATTGGATGTTCTATACAAGCCTTGCATATTATTTGCATCCACTGCCTTGCAAGTGCTCGATTAATCAATTCATTATTGAAGTTTTGATTGAATTTATTGAATAATTTAAGGGAAAATGAAGGAAATACCTTTGGATATTATGCAATTCCCCCCTTGATTTGAAGTACGAGTATGCGTACTGTATTGTTGGATAGACTGCTAGAAATGCTACAGTTACAATACAATACAGTACTGTACAATGGCGATTTTTACAAGAATAACGGTACACCATAAATCGTGAAAAAACGAATTGAAATCATTTATTTCACAAAAATAAATTATACAGGCATGTTTATGAGAGCTTCTTCTTTCCACACATAACAATTTTGATGAATTTCGTTCACAAAATGTCGCAAAACATTAGCGTTGATTTATCTAAAACGTACAGTAGTTCGCAAGTGTACTGTACTCAGTCCTACTGTACAGTACTGTATATCAGGGATGGATTCCATTCTCTAGATCAGTAGTGTAGCGCTTCTGGGAAGTTGTCTGTCCGTTACACGCATCTAGGAAGAAAAGCAGAAAGGTTGCGCTGGCATATCCATCTTTCTTTCTTTTCGTCCCTGACCACCATACTGTACAATATGTACGGGTACAGTACTGATATTTTATTTCAGTTCATAACTCTATTTTTGTCTTCTGACTAGAATCAATCCTTTCACAGACTATCCCTCCAACTTTATAGTCTTCAGACTAGAGCACCCTTGAGGTACAGTATGAAGAAAAACGTGTGTACAGTACAGTACAGTAGAGTTCAAGTAACGCGCGCTGGGTATTCTACTGGACTAATCGACGCTAGGAACTAGGCAACTTTCCCTCCTTCGTCGCCGTCCCTCTTTTTACCCGAAATCTCGCCATTTCCATACTGTTGCTAGTCTAGACAAGGCGGAATTTCGGGTAAAAAGCGACGGAAGGATACACGATATCCAGTGAGTTGAAGACCCATTTCTTTCTTTGACGACTAGGGCTGCCAAATCATTTGTCACTGCTTGTTTGTCTAACGAGTTGTTGTAAGATGACATTGATTTTGCACTCGACTTGTTCATCCCTAATTGGCGTCCTCCAACAAAAGTGCTTCCGTCATCATTTTTAAGATGTACTAGTGCAAGCTCCCGTCGCTTTGCTGACGGTTTACGATAATGTGCTCATTTAACAGTAAATAAATAGCCATGTGTGGTTAGGGTTAGACAAAGTCATGATGACCAAGCGGAAATAGAAGGTTGAAAATGCATGAAAACTTGCTTGTGTCTGGATTGAAATTCATTCAAATCCCTTGTACACGATATCCAGTGAGTTGGAGAGCCATTTCTTTCTTTAACAACTAGGGTTGCCAAATGATTTGTCACCCCTTGTCTGTCTAACAAGTGGTTGTAAGATGACATCGACTACGCACTCGGCTTATTCATACCAAGTTGGCGTCTGTCCGTCAACATAGTGCTTCCGTCAGCATTTCTAAGATGTATTATAATAATAAATAAACGGTCATGCACTGTATGGTTAGGATTAGACAAAGTCATGATGACCAAACAGAAATAGAAGGTCGAAAATGCATGAAAACTTGCTTGTGTCTCGATTGAAATTCATTCAAGTTTCTTGTACACGATATCCAAAATATGGTGAGGTGTTAGAGACCCATTTGTTTCTTGGACAACTCACGGTTGCCAAATAGTTTGTCACCCCTTGTTTGTCTAATAAGTCCTTGTAATATGACATCAATTATGCACGGTCCTTGTTCACACCTGATTGGCGTCTGTACGCCAACAAAGTGCTTGGGTCAGCATTTCTAAGACGTATTATAATAAACGGCCATATACCGTATGGCTAGAATTAGACAAAGTCATGATGACCAAACAGAAATAGAAGGTTGAAAATGCCTGGAAACTTGCTTGTATCACCATGGAAATTCATTCAAGTTTCTTGTACCCGATATCCAAAATATGGTGAGATGTAGAGAGAGACCCATTTGTTTCTTGCACAACTCACGCTTGTCAAATGGCTTGTCACCCCTTGTTTGTCTAATAAGTCCTTGTAATATGACATGGATTATGCACTGTCCTTGTTCATACCTGATTGGCGTCTGTACGCCAACATAGTGCCTCCGTCAGCATTTCTAAGATGTATTATAATAAACGGGCCATATACCGTATGGCTAGAATTAGACAAAGCCATGATGACCAAACAGAAATAGAAGGTTGAAAATGCCTGGAAACTTGCTTGTATCGCTATGGAAATTCATTCAAGTTTCTTGTACACGATATCCAAAATATGGTGAGTTATTAGAGACCCATTTGTTTCATTTGGCAACTCACGGTTGCCAAATGATTTGTCATCTCTTGCTTGTGTAAAAAGTTATTGTAAAATGACATAGATTTTGCACTGGCCTTGTTCACACCTGAATGGCGTCGGTACCGCCATACTGTACACTATACGCTTGGGCAGCAGAGTCCACTACTATCGTGGACTGCTGTCCTACCGTCCGGCCGGCCATAAATGAATCGATTAGTCAGTCACTAGTGTTAGCGTGTTGTAACTCTTCCGTTTTGCGCTCCGCCATTACCTGGCTAAATTGGTGGCTCGCATCTTCACTGTTCTTCTTCAACTGGACAAGTTATTGGGGAATGATAAAC